TGTCATTCAAAATTCATCAAAATTATTGTTCATACCGAAAAATAAAAAATAAAATAAATAAAAACAAAGAAACCATTAAAATTAAGAATTTGTTTGGATTAGTATAAACGAAATATAAAATACATTGTATTATCAAAAATTTCATTTAAAATTCATCAAAAATGAAAGAAAAGGAATCATTCAAATTAAGAATTGGTTCAACTGACCATAAATAATAATATATAATTTACTATGGGATTAAAGATCATAAATGTTAGTTAATGACTTTAGTTTGAACATAGATTGATACATGTACATATATATATATATATGTTATCTTTCCTAATTTGAATGCAAAAGAGAGATACACCAGCTGTATTTAATAATTACAATCTTAATTCTAGTTTAACCTTGACAGTCAATTGAGACAAATGTTATGTCGTGTTATGCGCCCTAAACTTCCGGCTAACAAAAAATTATTTCAAATGACTGATTACTTTCAATTTGTTATCAAATCATTCAGGTCAATTATAATATAACATTGTCATATCTTCTATTTTTTCATATTTTTTTATTTTATTTTATTTAATATACTGAAATCTTACGTGTTGATTTCAAATAAATCATCAAAATGAAATGATGTGAAAGAAACAAATTTTCTGTACACCATAATGAAACAATTAATATAATATAATGAACATGTGGTGTTTAGAAGATGTTTTTTTTCAATAAAATCACATGGAACATTTGCAATGTGTCAATTAGATCAGAAAGATCAAATGAGAAATTTCTAAAGCTTTCATAAAACGTTGACTTGATTGATGGTTTTACCAGCAGGAAATGAAAAGATACGATGGAAAGATTTTATACTTTTTTTCTGTTTTTTTTTTTTTTTCGATTAAAAAGTCAATTACTACTACGAGTTTTTTATTAAAACGACGATAGAACTATTACTTATAGGAAATGTGTTCTCTTTTATCCTATATTTCTAATTAGGTCATATAATCGAAATATTTTTATTAAATAAAAAAAAAAAAAAAGAACAAAAATCCTAGTCGAAATATTATAAATGTATATTTGAATGATTATAAACAGAATATTCTAAAATTGAAAAAAAAAAATTAAAATAATTAATTATTAAAACCTACATTAATTCAATATTACAATAATAATTATTATTATATATTATTAAAATAATTAAACATTATAATAATAATAATAATAATTTAGCAAGGAATTGATTCATTAAAAGTAATATATATATATTATTTGAAATATATAATTTAATTGTATTATTAATTTAATCTTAATAAATAATATTATAATTATATAATATTAATTATTATAATATTGTATATATAATTTTTTATATCGAATATTTTTTAATATTTTTTTTCTTATTTAATATATATATATATGTAATAATAAATAAAATTAAAATAATATTATATATTATATATTTTTGTTTTATATTATATAAAATATATTATTTAGGTAATATAATATAATATATATAATATATATATATTATCTATACGTAAATATAATATTATAATTATATAATATTAATTATATATATACATATATATTGTATTAATTATTATAGTATTTTATATATCATATTTTGTAATATTTATTTTAATTTTTTATATATATATATATATATGTAATTAATTTAAAATATAATATTTTTATATATAACATTTTATATATAAAATTAAAATATGAATAACACATTTAATATAACATATTATATTATTTATATGTTAATAATAAAATAAAATAAAATGAAATATAAAAGAATATAAATATGACAAAATATAATACCTTGCTATGAGTGACATGCTTATTGGAAAAATAGACATGTTTTGACTGCCAACGAGATATTCTCTCACAGCATCTGGATTCTGTCGTGACATATAACCTTGATAAACTCCAACTAATGCAGATACACCTAACATCCCAATGAAAACTATACTATCGACCAGGTCGAATGTTCTTCTTTCCATCGAACCATCCATATCCAATTATTATTATTATTATTATTATTGTTGTTGTTGTTGTTGTATGTCCAATGTTTTCAAAAAAAAGAAACGTCTTACAAACATTCACTAACTTGCTCTTATCTCAACAATTCTTCAAAGCAAATTAATTCAATCTCAAAAACAAAATTATTATTAATCAACAAACTAATTCAACGTTACAACTTATATAAAAAATTAGTAGTTTTTTTTTATTGTTTATAAAAGAAATATAAATCAATTCAAACAGTGATTCGGGGTGTCTACCGTGTCCAGTGTTTCGACTCGTTTGAAAACAAGTGTCTCGTTTAGTCGAAGAAGATAAAAGAGGAGGAAAAGGAAGATGAGGAGGAGATGAAAAGAGGGAGGTGAATGACGAGGAGGAGGAGGAGGAGGAAGAAGAGGAGGAGAAGGGGGTGGGGGAAGGGGGGAAAAGAGGCTCAACGCCACAGAACAATTCGAGAGAAGGCAATTGAATAATTGCGGATTCTATTCCATCTCCATTTCTACCACTACCACCACCATCATCATCATCATCATCAACCACCACCATCAACCACCACCATCAACCACCACCACCACTCATTTACTACTACTACTATATTCGTTTTCTTTTCTTCTTCTTCCTCATACTCATCATGATGATGATCATGATGATTATGATTATGATGATGATGATGATGATGATGATGATGATTATGATGATGATCATTTACCTCTTTTTCCTTTTCTCTTCCTAATAGTTCTGCCCCCGTCCAAATAATCTCTTTTAAATTCGTGCACAGTTTGTAGGACGTGTGTGTAATGATATACTTACACAGATACATATAAATACATATGTATACGCAACGTGTTTCACAATTGTTTCAAATTGTCGAACAAATTGTGTATTGCCTCTTTTTTTTTTTG